GCTGGCCTCTTCCTCACAGTCAAATGTATGTATGTATGTATGTATGTATGTATGTATTACCCTTGGGAAGAGGGGACGGGGGACTGGGCTAGGCTAGTGAGCCACTGCATTCTTCTTGCCTTATGGTAAAACACTCGGAGATTTCCCTGAGGGTTTCTAAATTTTCAGTAATAAGGATCAAATGGTACAACTGATGATTGAAACAAGCCCTTGAATGTTCACTCAGGGATGGCTCACCTGTAAGGGAAGGTGAGCCAGCTGTCTGTCAGGCGGCAGAGGAACTAACCCCACAGCAGGTTGCCAGGAACAGATAAGACAAGGGAAAGTCCTTATCATCTGCTTTCTATTCAATATTTACAGAGAGAGGCTTGGGAATGCAGCCTCTTGGAATAATGGAATAATTCTCCACCACCCCTTTCTCTCCCACTTCCTCATTCATCAACAGCAACCCCTACCCCCTATGGTTGCCACTTAGGGCCATCTGTCTTCAAGTTCTTTGCTCTCCTACTTTTAATGCTCGCCGGGTTCTGGGAGATGGTGAGTTTGGAATGCTCTATAGTGATAAAGTGTCACCCAGCTGCTCTGGCTCTGCCTCCTCCTCTCCCATTATTTCCCAACTTTCCCCCTCATCTTCCTCTGAGCTGTGACCTCCCTCAAACCCTTGTTGTAATTCTGAACTGTCTTTTTCTTGTCTGGAAAGGTCAGACTGGGGAGGCGGTCTCCACCATTCCTCCTCTGCCCAGTCCCTGACAGTGTCTCAGGTGGCAAGATCCACTGTGGCAACAGATCCCGGTGTCAATCTCCCCCGCCCCTTGTTCCTGATGTAGATCCTCCTTCATCCCTTCTTCCCCAGCGGCGAGAAGAGCACCAATTTGGGGTCTGCTTCAGGTACCAAAATGATTTGAGATGGTGACATATCTCAAAATGTATTTCCTATTTTTACAGTGGGATAAACTTTATTTGTGGGTTGGAGAGGTTCTCTAAGAGGGTAACAGAAGAGTAGGTCGGTAAAATACTTGTGGGAGCAATTATGTGGAAGAATCTTTTGACCCAATTTTATCCAGGCTTCAAACTCAACAGTCTTTATTAATGGTGAGGAAAACATTAAGATAGATTTCTCATAAATGCACATTTCTGAACACATATGTGAGTATAGAAGAAATAATTATCAGAATTATTCTTTACTGATCAAGTTTTATCTGCTGTGTTAAACTAATTATTTTCTACATCTAATCTTATTTACATAATATTACCTCTCCACAGTGAATTGGGAATATGTGACAGAACAGAATTTTGTGCAAAAAAGAACTCTGTGATCGTTTTATTTATAGACATGGGTAAAAGTTTGATGAGCTTTATATGTAGGCATGGATAAAACTTGGATGACTATTGGCTCTATTTTATAAAATATAGAATGAAAATACGGTATATTATTTTTTATCTTTTGTGCAGTTTGGAAAGATTTTTATGCTGATGAATAGACCATGTTGTGTATGGCGTCACTGAGTGAATGCGCTTGCTTGCAGCCTGCATTTTTCATTGAGAAGAGTTTTTGTGTATGTTCAGAAAACCAAGCCTACTGCACAACAAGGTGGTAGAGAGATGATCTTGCAAAGACTATTTCTTTGGTCTTTATGTTTGTGATTCCCAAAGAAAATTTGGCATCTAGTGAGATGAACAGGAGAGAGAGCACACTAGCAAATACTGCTCTCTTCCAAGTGCATCAAATGTAGATTTCGGGCTATTACTTTCCACAGCACAATAGCTTTCGAACATAGGCTTCCTGAGGGACATATTCAAGGGTGTATTCTGAAATATCTGCCACAAAATTCTTATAATTAAGCGGGCTTCAAGGGAAAATGTCATTCGTGTTGACCAGAGAAACCCTCTGTTAATGGCTTGACTCAGGCCCTAAAAGGTAAAGGTACCCCTGCCCGTACGGGCCAGTCGTGTCCGACTCTAGGGTTGCGCGCTCATCTCGCTCAAGAGGCCGGAAGCCGGCGCCGTCCGAAGACACTTCTGGGTCACGTGGCCAGCGTGATGAAGCTGCAACTGGCGAGCCAGCACCAGTGCCGCACGCGGAAATGCCATTTACCTTCCCGCTATAAAGCAGTACCTATTTATCTACTTGCACTTAGGGGTGCTTTCGAACTGCTAGGTAGGCAGGAGCTGGGACCGAACGACAGGAGCTCACCCCGCCGCGGGAATTCGAACCACCGACCTTACGATCAACAAGTCCTAGGCACTGAGGTTTTACCCACAGCGCCACCCGCTTCCCTAGACTCAGGCACTAGAAGAGTGCTTATTCTCTAAAACTCAGTAGAATGGTATTCTGAAGTAGGACACTTGCCTTTCCCACCATACTGTGAAATCAGTGAGTTTGTTGGATTTAATTTTCTTGAACGGCTTGTTTTCTCATCCAAGTGCAAGTTCCTTGAAGCTGCTTCAATTGGGGAAGCAATCGGGGTATATTTGTACATAGTCAATTTTTTGATGTTGCACATCCAGGCCACGTATCTGTAGGTGTAGGAAACTTGTTTGTTCATTGGCTGATTAATCCATTGTGAATCCAGAACAGGTTCTGCAATCTGCACACATGGCTACCTGCTTACTATTCTGAGATGTTCTGGAGAAATGTACCAACCTTTTTCAAATGTGCTTGGGGCTGTGTAGGTCAGCTGAATATTAAGGGAGCATGGAATTTAATGTGTGCAGATGTGCTTATTGTACAGAACATGCAAGATACTACTTTGAGATGCATAGTTTGACAAGTTTTCCTGGAACACTGATATCTCTCCTCTCCAGTAAATCACATTATACCTTTGAACTGAGAATCTATAAGTAGATTCCCACTGTCCTGAACAATCAGAAACGAACTCCACCCCTTAACTGTGATATTCTAGCACCATCCTCAGGAGATAAAAAGAAGCAATAAGGGGGGGGGGTCTACTTTTCTGGTGAGCAATAAATTTCTTCCCACACCTTAAAATTAAGGGGGAAAGATGCAGGAACAAGAAGTATAAATGAGTTTTGCAGATGGCAGTGGGTAACAATGCCTTGCTGCTTGGACAATAGAGCTAACCACACCTGGAAACATTTGTATGGGTCAGACAGGATCATGTGACCTATTCTGATCTTCTATAATTAAGAGTTTGCCTGTAAACCACTTGTTTGGCTGTGACTTGGTACATGGACTTGGCATCTATTAGGTCTGAGGCTCAGGATTTGCAGTAGGTTGAGTCCTGTAGTCTGTTCCCACACCTAAAGGTGAGCCTGTAAATCTTTCTATATAGGAAGATGTGTAGGTGCTCAAGTGATGAGAAAAGAAGACTAGAGTTACATTCTAGCACTGAACTCTCAAATTTCACTGCAACATATGTAGAGTTTTTCACCAAAGAAAGGCTAAGGCCTGAGGGAATGCCATACGCCCAAAGAGAATAATGTCCAATAGTAACCCCCCACTTCCTCCCAGAAGTTCAGGCAGTGTGCATCTCATATCTTTTTATTCAAACGTTTTTATTATCACAAATTGTGCCTATCCCAAGAAGAACAGATGCAAAGACTCATTTTTTTGTATTTTCTCTTCCTTACCCTGCTTGCTTAAAATACTGAAATCCAACAGTTGATCTTTAATCCTTCATTAAAGTTGCATCCTATTAATAATTAACATTGAGAACAATATATCGTGTCTTCATTTGGATGTAACACTAAAATGTCGTTTAGCATTACATGAACAAGCTTTGGGTTTGTGCACTTCTCCATTTGTTTAGTGGGTCTACACAAAGGAGATCAGAAGCTTTTGTTTCTGTTTCTAACTAACCATGGCTTACCAGTATGTCCCATCCTGGACAAACTATCCATGGCTTACCATTATGTCCCATCGTCTTTATGGTTTAGTGAAGCGAGCCAATTTCAAATGTGGTCTATAGTCCTGGCTTGTTTCCTAAACCATAGTTAAGATTAAACACATTTGCAAATCTGGTTAATTGAAAATGGAAATGAAAGATTCCTGTCTCCTCTCAGCTGCGCTGGAGGAGAGGGTGGGGTGTGAACCCTGTACAGCTTTGCCTAACACCATACCATAATTTTGTTTTACAGACCAGTTTACTTATCCAATCCCTTCACCCTGTATTTTCAGAAATGTAAAAGACAAATAAATGTTCCAATCCCATGCATATTTACTTACTTGGGATAATAATTAAGTGTGCCCTGCTTCTGATTAGGCTTGTATAGAATCAGGCAACTGAGTTCAACTTTACAGTTTTGTTAAGAATATTAGTTTGTTTTACTCAGTGTAGTCTCATTGAAATGAATAGACATAAGTTAGTTATGTTCATTAATTTTAGTAAGTCTACTTTGAGTAAAACCCACTGATTTTCTCTCTCTTCAGGATGGAAAACTTAATGCCCAGGGACTTAATGTGCCCCCCACCCCCACCCCCGCTGCCAGTCTCAGACCTCTCCACAGGCTACACCTCTCACTGGCTGTGTGTTGCAGGAGCATTTTTGCCTGGTTGGAATGTGTCCATGACCTCTGATCATTCTTCTTGCTTGGCTGGGTGTGGGATATAGAGGGATGAGTGAATATGTATAGAAACTAGCCTACTCTACAAAAGGAGCATCTGCATTCATTTCTGTGCCTGATTTTGCCTCTGGCTCTGTCCATGACTAGCATGCATCCCTGGAAAGGGAATGTGGTTCTTGAGCTGAAAAAAAGAACCCTTTGCTAAACAGTAGCCACTATGTCTAGCAGTAAATTTTCTGCATCCCAAAGGACATGGTTTGTACTATTCACCCCTTTTGTCCTCTGGAGACACTATTTTAAGTTACTGAATCAATAGACCCATTATGCTGTCTACAAATAAAGCAGGATCTAGAGTCATTACAAGGAGCTTGTGTGCTTAATACCGTTACCTTATTTTGTGGACTTTTCATTTTATGAGGAGGACTGTTCACTGGACAGCAAACTAGGTGAGTGAGGGGATTTGCATAGAGGACTATGAGCCTAGGCATAAATGCTAAACCCTACAGTTCACCCCAACTTTTTTCACCCTGGTGTTGTGTAAGATGTTTTGGACTACAACTCCCATCAGCCCCAGGCAGTACAGCCAATGGCCAGGGATGATGATGGGAATTGTAGTCTAGAATATATGGAGGCTCACAAGCAGATATCCAAAATATCCAACAAACAGATATTTAAATCTTTTCTGAACTAGAAAGAGAGAGAAAAAAGTGTAGTATCTGTTTTCAGAGTCAAATGCCATACTATCTTCCTCCCCTTGTTTTCCCTCTTGAAAAAGTAACTGACTTCTGAACAATGCATTGTGAGTGGATGTCTCAACCTTTTCTAAATGTTGAGCTCTGGCTAAGATTCCCCCTGTTTGGAAAGTGGAAAGCTGGGCCCTGACTCCTCCTGAATGACAGTGTTAATTGCCATTGACTGTAATAGAATATGAATAGCACAGCCACTTGACACCAACTTAATGGTTCTGACTTTTCAGTGGCTGAGAGTGTTAAGGCTAGAGGGGAAATAGGGTCAGAGAATAGATAAGAGCCCTTCTGATTCTATTGAAAAAGATTAAAGCTTCTGAGTCTTTGAAGTGGCACTTGTGAGGTTTGCCATTTGTATGAAGTCATGTTAAAATGGAAAGTGATTGGGAAGTTTTGCAGTTGCAGAAGCACCATTAAAACACTTTTGCTATGACATTCCCTTAATATTGTTCAGGTCAATTGCAGAACAAGAAACAACAATTGGCTATCTCACATCTTTGAGATTTGAAGAAGAGATAATCACACAGACCTGATGAATTGCTCCAGGGGCCACATGACCCTGAACCAATCTTTACAACTCTACTACATAAAGTGTGCAGCATTTCTCCACATTTTCATTTAGGGGAAAGAGAAAACAGTCCAGTTCTCAAGAGGGCCTTCAGTGTTGCACAGTTGGGGTTATAAGTCCATAAGCAGGATATAAGACAGCCTTTCCATGTTTGTCTCTGGAATGTATAGTATATCTGTACATGGAGGTTTCATTCTGCTTTATTGAAGCAAATAGCCACTGGCAGACAAATTGATGGAGGACAGATCTAATTCCCCCTTTTAATGGTATCAGAGTTAGTAAATATCATAGCATGGCCTGGTAATGGTAAATTATAAATTATGTATTGTATGAAAAAGTAGTTTTTTAAAAAGCCTGCCCTGAGCTTCCCTCCAGTTAGTTTCATGGGCTGAGCCCGCATTCTACTTACTACCGGTATTATGCAAGAAAGAGAAATACACTACTTCTATGAACTGATATACTGTAGTGGTAGATTTTGAAGTGTGAGAGCTCATCATAGCCTCCCATAGCCACATCTCAAAGGAAAGTCCCAAAATGTGGTACCTGTGTTGATCCATTATGTGTGCACACTGAAGAGTAGCAGTGAATATAATATCCAATTTATTAAAATCAGTTGACAGGCATCGTATAGTGAACTGACTAAGGATGATGTAAAGCAGGGGTGTCCAACAGGTCGATGGTGTTCTACCCATGTAGATCCCCACGAGGTTTTGGTAGATTGCATTGGATCTCTGTCTCCCTTTCCTTAGGGTCACTAAAATTGACTCCTGCCCCGCCCCCTCGACCTGCCCTCCATTGTTGTTTGATCCCTGGAATCATTGTTTTTATCCATAGGGATCCCTTTGTGAGTGACTTTATCCCTTTGTCCCTTGCCTTTAACCCCTCCTAAAAAAGCTTTGAGCTGACCTCCCCCCAAAAAACAACAACAGGGGTAGATCACTGCCAGTCTTTAATTCTGAAAGTAGATCACAGTCTCTCGAGAGTTGGCCACCCCTGATGTAAAGTTTATCATACTGAAATCTGGCTGGCAAGACTTAGGTTCACATCTCTGATCAGCATGTGGCATCACTAATATCCAGTTCATAATGCCGTGGGAGTAAACTCCACTAAAGTGCTACTATGTAAAGGCTAGGATGAAATTGGAACTTCATCACCATCATCATTTTTTATTTGTATGCCGCCCTTCCAAAGTTAAAACATGCTTACAGCATGACAAGATTTACATAATTACCAATGTAACAAAAGTCATAAACAATAAATAAAGCACATCAAAAGGTACATAACCAAATGGAAAACAATTTCCACATAAATCATAAAAACTAAAACTAAAAAAATACAACAGTAATATCAATACAATTTAAAATGGCATAGTTAAAAAATAAAAACAATTTTAAAAAGGATCCATCTCTGCTGAGCAGCAGCAGCAACAGTCCTTTATGGAGCCCTCCAGGCCTGGCCCCAAGCCAGGTGGAAAGAGGCAGGGCAGGGCCCTGAGGCTCCCAGTAGGTCAGTCCATCAAAGGAAAGAACTGCCTGCTTGTGCTTGACCCCCCCCCCCCCATGATTAGCTTCTAGAAATTAGGGAAAATAATCAGAAGCGTAGTGTGGGTTGCCAGGTGCCTGGGTGGGGCAAGTGGTGCACTGGGCAGTGGTCCGTTCCTTTGCCGGCAAGCATCTAATCAAGGGCATCTCTCTTTGCAAACTAGCCCAAACCTGGGAGCAGAAATAAGGCAGAAAACTGTGAAGCCAGGAACACCATTGTGTCACCTCACCACCCTGTTCTTTCAATGAGGCGCTCTGAGCAACACACATGGCTCTGGCAGTGCTTTCCTTCTCTCTCCCTCTTGGCCAGCCTAAGGGCAGGATACACATGGGCATCCCTTTGCCAGCCGCAAGGAGAAGGAGGTGCTGCCCCAGCTCGAAAGGCCCAGCCTGGGTGGGGCTCGCCTCCCTGCGGCTCTGGCATCGGTGAGGGTGTTTGGTTACACCACCACACCACTGAAAACAATGAGCGAAGCTTGTGGAATTAAGAGCTAAAGTTGCCATTTGAACATTGCTCCCCCCCCAAAAAAAAATAAGAGGACAAAAGATGATACAGATGTGTACACTATTTGCATGCTGTATATGCACATTTTAAAATAAATATTCCAAAATTCATAGTTGGACAATGACTTTATTTATAATTTAAATAATAATTCAATACATCTTAACATGGTGAGGAAACCTGTGACCATGTGAGCCTGTTCCATCTGTTATCCAGGTGCTGTTAATGAGCAGCTCCAAGATCCCTGTTCTCCCTCTTATGGTTATTATTGTGAATTTTTTTGTGAGATGGCTGTATGCCTCAATCCCTTCTAATTCCTGGATCCAACAAGAATCCAATTGCTGGAATAACCAGAGAAGTTGGCCTAAGTATGGGTTGTTAAGGTAACAAAGGAAATGTCTCTGTGCCAGAGGCCAAATGGGTGGGCCTCCCTCTCTCAACTATCTCTTACTTATAAAGACAAAGGCCAGAGTGGAGAGTTGAACTGTGTGAGCTAGAAACTGAGATTTGGTCTGGACAGAGAGGGCTGTTCTCTGTATAGTAGGAACAGCCACCCTTTTAAGGAAATGGAACAGGACAACTCAGGGATAGAGTAGATGGATGAGATACACCACATGGTGAAGGCAAGGAGGCTCTAGCAACTGGGCCTTTAGTTTGGAATGGGCCCGTGATCAGCTGACTTAATTCAGAACCAATCTGATCTGGACTCAAATCAAGCACACACACCAACACACATAATGTATAATCTAATCTGAAGTTCCTAAGGTTTTAGTTTCCAAATGCAGATATATATTTTTAAATAAAATATGAACTGCTAGCAACTTCAAGGAAGCTAAAGAGTAAAAAAAATAGCAGGCACAAGAAATAGTATAATAACCAATAGGGATTTTGTGTACATATGACAATAAGTATGTCTGTAAAGATAAAATAACTTTTTATAAAATTAATAGTGTGGAAGGACATATCCTTTAACTGCTGCATTTGTAGTTTCTGGTCCATCAATATCTCTGCTTCTTTCATTAATAAACTGGCCAAACCAAGGAATAAAACGGCAGGAATACATCCCCCCTCCCCTTTCCCCTGAGCTCTACTTCTACTTAATCAACAACAGTCTTGATCAAAGGGGGGATGTAAATCAGGTTCATTAATTCTGCTGGCAATAAACAGGAAGGAGAAAGCTCAACATGAAATAATGTTGTTGTTGTTTTAAAAGGAAAATCCACATATATTTGAGGTAGGACTGAATATGGAGAGATTGGGTAGTTAAATGACCCTTCAGATTGTGACTGACTAGGGAAACGTAGGGGTTTATGTATGGATTAGCCCATTGATAGGCCCTGAGTAGCAAAAGAAGATGACTAATTGCCTGACAGAGTAGGACTCCATTCAACTTGGTCACTGAAATTAATTTCTGTTTTCAGGACTGGCAGAAAGCAGCTGTGGAATTTCAGTTCAATACTCAAATTAACTGGGAGTCTAAATTATTTCTCTGCACACACAGTATTAAAGGAGCGGCTTACCAAATTGATCTTGATTTTTATACAGTAGAGGCCAGGGTTATTCCTTTCCCCCCACATCAAGCAGCCTTGCCCCTTGACATCGAGGAGTGAAAGCAGTTTCCAGAGTAAGTTGTTTGCAACTGCTTAATCTCCATCAGGTGAACATTTCTTTCAGGAGCAAAAAAGGGGAAAGCTGGAAATATTTGTAATTCAGGTGTGTCAGGATGGAAGAAATTCTGCTATTTACCGTATGTACTTAATGTACTGATGACGTCATCCAAACACAGATGCAGAAAATAGGATCTGGATTCTATTTTCATTGGGAAAGAGTGCATGTGTAACATCAAAATTTGTGGGAATTAGTTGTCTTTTGAATAGATGATACCCTTCCTAACTATATTTGTATTTCTGTCTTAGATAGATAAACAGATGTCACACACACACACACAGAGAGAGAGAGAGAGAGAGAGAGAGAGAGAGAAGTGGATATACATCCTCTTAAGATCTGGATGGAATTCAGGCCTTCAGAAAGAATTCACAATTAAGTGATCAGTTCCTTTAAATCATTATGTATTTGCAGATAAATGGCAATTTGACTTGTTACCTGATTAAAGAAACCTAAGGTGTAGTTGGGATCAAGTCTTACTTGGGATCAAGTCTTATTGAATTCTTTGGGACTTCTTTGTAAATACATAAGATTGTGCTGTAACTCAATTTATCATATGAGTCTTACAGTGTCATCCTATGCATGTCTGCTCAGAAGTACTCCCTATTAAATGTGGTTATGAATGTTAATTTAATTAAAAGTTTAAATCTGCCCAAATCCATATATGTGAGAAATTGTAGAAGGGGAGCATCTTTTATTTGTTAGGTTAAGATATATCTGTGGTATAATACCTACTTCCTGTATGTGAGATTCAATTCCTAATTTTTGCTTAGACACATTGAAGTTAATGGCCATAGTTAACTAAGGCCTATTGATTGTAATGGATCTACTCAGAGTAAACATTAGAAAGCCAGTACCTGCCAAGTTCCCTTCATGCATGCATCACACAAAGGAGAATCATATGGAGCTGTAGGACTGCATATTTGGCCTGCCCTCAAGGGTGTGTGGTGCTATCTGGCCCTGCCTCTAAGATCCAGGTGCTGGTAGGGACAGCTGCAAGTGGAAGGCTACTTGTGTAGGCTTCCTCCATTCTGGAACTATGCATGATCAAGGTTCCAAAATGTGGGGAAAGCCTATATATGCAGAGGAACACACACACACTTTACCTTGCAGAGGCTAACTCTGTATAAGGCAGTTTTCAACTTTCATCTGTTTTTAGAAGATGCATACATGCGTTGAAGCAGGCAGAAGGAGAAGTATTCCCCTTTCTTTTGTATGAAAAAGGAAATGCCTCTTCTAAGACAGTGCATGCCACCTGCCATTTTTATCATTACTTGCTTTAAATAGATATTTATCTGCTGAACAATTAATTAGGTGGGTAGTGATGGTATAATGCTAAGGCCGTCTGCATTATTTTTGAATATAATGTTCAAATTCAAAATATCAGTAATATTTATTTCTTCTACCAAAATGTTATTGTATTATATGAAATTATGCTTCATTCTGTTTAGTTCTGTAGCCTGAAGTCCAATGTTTCATATGTCCATTTTGTTATAACTGAGTAAAACACACCAACTATATTGCAAGAGTAGATTACACCATCATTTTTCTGCTAATGCTGTCAATAGATTTTTACACATTTTATTTTTCTTTACATCTAGTACTCTGTTGAATTTTGGATACTGGTGCAAGCAGTGATGAGAACAATCAATGTTGAGAATAATAAGAGATCATTCCCCATCCTACAACTCATCAGCCTCCCAACATTTTCTTTCTTTAAGCCTAAGGCAATGCCACCAAAAGTGCAGAGAAAAGCCAAATGTTCCTTTCCCACACCAGGGTACATTAGCCTTATACATTTATTTTCTTTCTTTTGCAAATATTTTGGTACACATGGTGAAATAATCACATTTCCATTTGGTACCTGCCCTCCACAAGTATGATATCCATTTATTATTACAGAGCCATGGTGTAATGCCTAAGAGCTATGCAGTCCAGCTTCCAGCCCCCAAAGGCTGCACAATCTATTACACTGGTGAAAGCAGGTGTATGCTAGTGAAAGGTGCCTGCAGACCTAGGAGTGGAGGGATTATATGACCAAGTTTGTTTTTACTGTCCACTTTTTCATTTCCTGGATATTGTTTTTAATATTTGAGCAGCTTTGTGGAGTGAACAGTTTAATATTTTTCCAGACTTCTTTCTCCTACTTTTATATATGCCTCTCTAGATGTAAAACACATACCCTTCAAGATTTCACAAATGAAAATACAGACAACTCTTATCTAATTGCATCACACCCATGCCCACAATTACACCTTGCTGAAGGCAATAACAGTCATTTGCAGTACAGTGGTACCTTGGGTTAAGTACTTAATTCGTTCTGGAGGTCCGTTCTTAACCTGAAACTGATCTTAACCTGAAGCACCACTTTAGCTAATGGGGCCTCCTGCTACCGCTGCACTGCCGGAGCACAATTTCTGTTCTCATCCTGAAGCAAAGTTCTTAACCCAAGGTAATATTTCTGGGTTAGCAGAGTCTGTAACCTGAAGCGTATGTAACCCAAGGTACCACTGTACAGTCCTATCCCACTCCAGCTTCCAAAGCAGGAAATGCTTGTAATTTAGTTGACCTTCACATCTGCCTTTAAAAACAACAACACTTTCTAGTAGAATCATAGAATTTTAAAGTTGGAAGGGATCCCAAGGGTCATCTAGTCCTACCCCCTGCAATGCAGGAATCTCAGCTAGATCAAAATTTAATTGCATGTAGTTTCTCTTATAACAACAACAACAACTCGTTATTTATATTTCACCCATCTGAATGGGTTGTCCCAGACACTCTGGGAAGCTTCAACAAATTAAAACACAGTACATACTGTTAGAGGAAAGCTGGAACACATCCATATTCATTATTTTGGGGGGAGTGTGCATGGAAACAAATTAACAGTATAGTACCTTGTGCATTACAGCTTCTAAAAAGTTAAATATCCAGATAAATTGGAGACTCCTGTCTCAAACCCTGAAGAGCTGCTGCCAACCAGTGCAAATCATATTAAACTAGATGGACCCATCACTTGGCTCAGTATCAGACATTTTCCTGTGTTCCTGAACCAGTTTTATCTTCCAGTGAAAGAAAGGTACCAGAATAAATGACAAGCTCTTGATTTTAATTCCTTTTCATTACATTTTGTTAATGTTTATTAGAATTATTTTAAAAAAAAATAGGCTACCTGTATTTACATCTTGGATAAATTGCAATTTTTCTTTGTCTTTTAAATCATGCCCACCCCAAAAGAATGCCTATGGATTTTATAAAACATAGAATTAAGTCTCTTGTTAAATTTTTCTGTTTTAAATTGTTCTCAGATTTTGGCTGTGCTTTCTAAAGACTTTGGGGGCGGGGTGTGGAGTGGATGGCACTGTTATACTAGGAGTTGAAAAGGCTCCTGGCTGTAACTTGCTCCTCTTCATTTTTGTGCTCGCTTATGTTAAGTAGGTTATGTTGTTGCACAGTTTTTCTTTCTCAGAATTAAACTCTATTGCTTGTTTGCTTGTATCAGCCCCAGAGTGGAATAACCAAAGAGAAGAATTCTTATGGCTGAGCACTAGCATTTTTCAAATCAATTGTTACAGCAGGAATATATAAGCAGGCCATAGGATTTAGGGAATTATCTGACTTGCGTCGTGAGGTTTTAAGGATAAATGACATAGATCTATGGGACCTGGAATGAAATATAGTTTCCAGAGTTATATTAATTCCTCACACTAACAAAATGCAAAATATTGAGCATTGCAAATACCCCTATCTGTCTAGAAAACCAAACATCATGATTTGTATTCCTGATGCACATAGGGGAGAGTAAGGGAGTCTTGCAAGATGACTTAAAAAAAAAAACCTGCCAAAAACTGACAGACAGAGACACTGGATTGGTTATGCTGTCATGATTACACTTTAGTTAATCAAGCTCTATTTGGTCATTCACAACACATGCTAGTTGGGACAGGCTCTAGCCTCACTCTACATGTATTCATGGAATGCTGCATTTGGGAATTCTGAGAAAGCAAGGTTTGTGATCAGGTGGATGGAACTCTCTGGGTTACAAACTGTACACGTAGCTGCTGTTTTCAGGCATTCAGTTAATGTGAGTCAGGGACGGAGTCTGTCACTCAGTCATGTGTACATACAGTCATACCTCGGGATAAATACGCTTCAGGTTGAGCGCTTTCGGGTTGCACTCCGTGGCGACCCAGAAGTGACAGCACGTTTCTTCTGAGTTTAGCCATTCGTGCATGCGCAGATGGTCAAAATGATGTCACGTGCATGCGTGGAAGTGGCAAAACGTGACCCGTTCTGTTCGGGATGCGAACAGGGCTCCGGAACGGATCCCGTTTGCATTCCGAGGTACCACTGTATAGATAAATATATGTGTATCCAGTTTTCATATCTGCAGACTTCTGGTTTCTAAATTGAGGAATAAGGTGAGCAGTTTGTTATAAGTAGATCACCAGACATACAGGTTTCATGTTACCCAAAAGCCTCTAAGTTTCAAAAGTATGAGCAGACGTAAAGCTGTATTTCAGCAAGAAGGATCCTTAGGGTCTGAGAGAGAGATTGAGCCAAGGCTGGGATGGAGGAATCCAGTTCACTGTCACATCTTTTAGAACCAATAACTCCTATGGTCAGCTGAAGGCTTCTGACTATTTGTTTCATCCTGCTACATGAACTAGGCCTAGGTCTTCAAATTGTTCTCTACATCTTGAAACTGTCAGCAAACTTTTAAACCACACCTTGACTCAAATTTGTTTCAGTATTGTGAAAGGCCTGGTAAAATTCCAGTGACTGAATTTAGTCTTTACAGTATTTTGACCCACCTAACGCAGCAGGACACAACTACACCAATGGGACTTGAGAGGGATCTATTCGGAGTGAAAAGGCCATGCAGAGAGGGATTCTTAATCTTTTCCTTGCTTTTTACTACTTCATTCCAAATTGCCCTCATACATTGCTTCTCTCCCTTTGAAGTTTCAAATGTGTTTGACCTAGAACACTGGTTCCTAAACTCCCCTCCAACAGACCACTTGAAATTTGCTAGGGGTCTTAGCGGACGACTCAATAATTTATCTGTCTGTTGCAGGAATTATTATGCACTGTGATAGATGGTGCATGATTATAATTGCATTTTTACAGACACAGATTTGAAACCCTTACCTAGAAGATGTGGAGCTCTAAAGTGTTTGGTGGAGGAACGTTAAGAATCCTTTCCCCCCCACTATTTCTCTGGTCCTAATTGCTCCTTCCTAAAGCTGGTTCGCTGTTCTAGAATAGCTTCTATTGTGCTTTAGCTAGGCCTTTAGTAATAGAGCATGGAATTGCCTTTTAATGAATTAAGGTCTGCTCTTTGGTTTAAATGCACTGTGTCTGAAAATTCAAAGCCACCTCTCTATTTCTGGGAATTGTCTTCTACCAAATAAATTTGACAAGATAAGACCTCTTGGTATCTTTAGGGAACAAACAAATTGAACAAGTAATTATTTACACAAGGTTTTTCTGATGAAGTTTGGACATTTAAGCTTGCTGGATGGATCTCCACTGAGAGAGACTCCTGTCTGAAACATTTCCTGCCCAAACACTTCCCTCCTGACAGGAAGTAAACATTAAAAATAATCTTTAATCCCTTGTCTGATCTACTACCATTAACAATTGATGGCCTTTAATTTTGTGGGATTTTAACTACAAAATGGAATGGCTAAGTAGTGATAATTGGGTATGGAATTACACGGTCATTTATATCCACCGAAATGCAAGAGGCTGGAAGGGTGACATTAATTATTTAACATTTCCTGGCTGTGGTTCCCATTATAGAATTTACTGATATGTTCTGTTGCAAACAATTATCACCAGATGAGAGTAAACAAACTGGTGATCTGACTCCTTATTTATAAATGTGCACTTTATTTAGAGAGTGTTGACTCAATTTGCATTTGCATGTTTGAAGCACTATTGCAGTCAGATTATTTTCAAGTTCTTGTCACCATATATTGCTTCTGCTGATCCATTTTCAAAATGTATAATTTCCTCATCAAACCCCTTCAAAATTGTGACATTACTCAAGCAAAAAGGGAGACATATAATAAGCCTTAAACTTAATCTTATCTATTTGTTTTCCATGCTCCCTTCCTCTTATCTTCTCCCACCTTTATAATAACCAATAACATTATAAAGTCTCAATTGTGTTCTACATTATAATATTATAAGAAACATCTCCAGATCTGCAGCTTTGGTGCAGTCGTTCCTTCTATATAAAAAACGAATGATTCCATACTTTTTTGTTGTTTAGTCGTTTAGTCGTGTCCGACTCTTCGTGACCCCATGGACCAGAGCACGCCAGGCCCACCTGTCTTCCACTGCCTCCCGCAGTTTGGTCAGACTCATGTTTGTAGCTTCGAGAACACTGTCCAACCATCTCGTCCTCTGTCGTCCCCTTCTCCTTGTGCCCTCCATCTTTCCCAACATTGGGGTCTTTTCCAGGGAGTCCTCTCTTCTCATGAGGTGGCCAAAGTATTAGAGCCTCAGCTTCACGATCTGTCCTTCCAGTGAGCACTCAGGGCTGATTTCCTTAAGAATGGATGTGTTTGATCTTCTTGCAGTCCATGGGACTCTCAAGAGTCTCCTCCAGCACCATAATTCAAAAGCATCAATTCTTCGGCGATCAGCCTTCTTTATGATCCAGCTCTCACTTCCATACATCACTACTGGGAAAACCATGGCTTTAACTATACGGACCTTTGTTGGCAAGGTGATGTCTCCGCTTTTTAAGATGCTGTCTAGGTTTGCCATCGCCTTTCTCCCAAGGAGCAGGCATCTTTTAGGCGTCTTGGGAGACCTCAAAATACTGCTGTACCAAAGTTTTTAGACCTAACAATTTTCATACATTTTGGGTAGAAGTGTGATCAAATCATAACATTGCTAAGGATTGGGGAGGAGGGGTTTCTTAGAACTTTAAGGGAGGGGTCTTAACCCCACCCCACCCCACAAATAGCAGTGTCTCTGCTACTTGATACCAGTAGCTTGATGGCACTGAGCAGCCTAGTCATATTGCTGGTACAGAATGCCTGGATCTTAACAACACTGTGTCATAATACATAATTGTGGAGTGAAATTGGCCAACAGGAGGAGCAATCTCCTACCCCATGACCCTGCTGGTGACATATATAATGATGTAGTAGTATATGCAGGTCCTGTTTTATGAACATTTGCTATGCAAAAAATAACTTTTCTGAACACGATGAATTAGTATCCAAACTTCACTATACGCTCTGCAGATTCAGATATCCAAACAAAGAGAATTTTGTTTTTTTTGTTTTTCTTTGGGGGGTGTCAAAATTATGTGGTAGGGAACACATTAGAAATTTTCCCATTAGAATCAATAGAAATTGTCAGCTCACCATGTGAACGCTTGCCTAGCGAATGATTTCCAGGGAATGTACAGTGGTTTAAGAACAGTCCTAAGAACGATTCAGTTTGCGAACTCTGCAAAACTGGAAATAGTGTCCTGGTGTGCAAACTTTACCTCAGTCTAAGAACGGAATCCAAACAGTGGAAGGACACCGGTGGTGGGAGATCTCATTAGGGAAAGTGTGCCTCGGTTTAAGAACAGTTTCAGTTTAAGAACGGACTTCCAGAAACAGATTAAGTTTGTAAACCGAGGTACCACTGTATTGTGTTTAGTAAGTGGGACTTCCGTGTATCATACTTCTTGGAACATTTTTCTTCCAGGAATGCCACTGTTCAGCATTAAGCCATTTTCTGAAGTGTCCACAAAGCTTCTTAAGAAAGAAAGACAGACCATGGATCACTTTGTCTTTGAAGTAGAAATGGAGAACCTCTGGCCCTGTTGAACTACATTTTTCTCCCGAGGCAAACAAATGCCAACAATATTTCCCATAATTGCTCGCCATTGTCCATGGTGACCAGGATGAGGACTCCAATAATACCTTGTTGGCCATAGATTCCCAGCCCTTGATACAAAGCAAAGACCATACACACTCTCAAAGCTATATTGGAATTTACACCTTAAAATTACCAAACATACATTACACACACACTTTTGCAGGGGTGGTACATGAAAATGTGTGTTTAGTCATTGTTCAGTTTGAAGTTTCTTTAACTTAACTGAATAACAGGTTGAAGTCAGTGCTATTTCAAAGTTTGAACTCATGTACAATTCAAGAGAAGTATTAATATTTTTAGTACATTGTAAGAACTGCCTATTTGACCAAGTATTACATTAGTGCAAGTGGTGGGCAGAAAAGGGACTATGGTCCACTGATGGACTACTAGTGAATTTCCAGTGGACCATCTGGCATCCACTGGTTACTGGGACTCTCACAAAACATACTGAACTAAAATGTGACTGGTCTTATAAGAATTTGTAATTCAGGAGTGCATGCTATAGATCCAGATTACTGTGAGTATGCATTTATTGTACTGCAAATGTAAAACACATTGGTGGACCACAGGGAATTTAGTGGCAGGTTGCTGTTGTTGTTTTTACATAGACTGCAAAATTGAAGTTAGTCTACAAACCTATTAGTGCTTCATACTTTTAAAGCAACACAGTTCCATTCATCATAGATGTGTTCCATCATCACATGTACTTATATATGTATACATAAAAACCTGGAATCAAGTAACTTTATTGTGAGCACTCATAAATGGCAGAGCTGTTATTTATTATTTCTCTCCGTCCTTGGTGCTTTTATTGCATTTTTTTAAATACAGCTGTCAGCAGGAAAAAATATAGCCTTAAACAATACTCTGAAAACTACGTGTTATATGTAGTTATATGCCTGCTCTGATGTCTTTCTGCATAAGCAGATTTTTGTTTTCTTTTTTTTATTCAAAAAAGTTTTGATTTCCTTAAATTAGATCTCAGATGCAGAGTTGAAAACAGTGTTGAAAATTGGCTAGGATGGGATGTAACAACATCTCTACTAGACAAAGTTGTCCAATTAAGCAGAATGTCAAAAGTTTTTAACATTTGAATTTCTGCAAGGGGCTACTAATTTCAACCTTAATGATTTCTCCTTTAGGACTCTACATAGCAAAACTTCACTTATTATCTTACAATACCCATCAGTCTGAGCTAAAGAGCAGCCTAGGGCAACTGAGTGAGTGAAGATAGCTTTCATCCCTTGAAAAAAAATCTTATAATCCCTTTTGAAAACAAGAGGAAGGAGGATGGAAATCTCTTGATCTCAACTGCTTTCTAGATCCTCCCTGTTGACAAACAGAGAAAAATTCACCTGTCAAGTTTTCCTCACAATAAATAGATAGTAACCTTTTTCATCTTCTTAGAAGGTGTGAGTTAACCAAGGATATATAAAGAGTCTATGATATACATAGACATGAACAGAAGTACTGAATGTAGGATGACCTGAGATTGGGGATGAATTTGCAGGTGGCAATTCAGAATAGCCATTGCAGCAGTCACAGTTTGAACCCCACCATAGTTTCATGGGGAGAGGGTCTTACAATTGCAGTGGGAGGCTTCTTAATTTTCTCTCCCCTTTTTAAAATCACTTTTCATGCCATTGGGGTTCGCCAGTCACTTCTGGGACCCGAAAGAACTAGTGGCACTCTGGCTGCTGCCCTTATACTTCCTTCCCTACCTCTGGGAAGGAACAATGGTGGCAGTGACTATAGTTCTGTTGTTGCATTTTTTTAAAGCTTCATTCTTTTTAAAAGAGAAAAAGGGGTAAAGAGCACAGTGAAGCAGATCAGCCCATGCAGTTTTCTTAAAATGTCAAAGTTAAGCACCCCCCCCCAAAAAAAATATTCTCAAAAATCCCCCCTATGGATTTTTAGAAGCTTTTTCCCCCTGCCCCTACCTTTCTGTGAATAGTTTAAGGTAATTTAGTCAAAATAATGGTTTGTCTGTAGTTTTTCTTTTATAAAAAACAACAACTGATGCCCCAATGAGGACCTAAGACTCTCATTTTGTTCTTAGGGGCCAGGATCCAAAGAGTATTGCAACCAGTTCCAGGGCTAAAGACGCCTTTGACTCAGGCATCAGCCACAGTCCTCTTTGCCACCTGGCAAATTGCCTTTGAAACAGTAATATGGCAAAGGGGTCTGCTTTTTAGTAAAAGTCAGATCTCTCACTGGGAGCATACACGCCCCTGGAGCATGCTTAAAGTACTTCTTTGGATGCCAGCCAAAGTTTTCACTGTGAATTGTGTAGGAAATCCTAATTCTGTGAACCATCTCCGTTATAAATTCCTTTCACATACCCTTTGCTCAATAAAATGCATTGTTAAGCAGAGATTATTTTGGTAATATGCAGATATGCACTTATTTCATCTGTGCAGAGCATTCTGCTGGATTTTTTTCAAGGGAACTTGTAAATTCCTTAAATAATATCATTGGAAGTAATACAAATATTTTTAATGATCATTGAGTAAGTTATTGGAAACATACACAACTGTGTAAATAACTGAACCTAAATAAATGAGTTTTTTTTAAAAAAAAAAATGGAATTCACTAAACATGAATAGTCATTTAAAGTGTAACTAGAATTGACTGTGTCATGTATCAGCCTAATAGCTAGAGCCCTGGTTCAATAAAATGAACCTGGGAAGGTTTTCTTAATGAAAGAACTGACGTTTTTTGTGCAGTTGCTGCATTCATCAGATTGTAATAGTGTTCATTACACTACAAAGGACTGCCAATGTGAATTGTTGGGATCATCTGTTAGGTGAGCCTGATAGGGACAGGAGATAAGTGAAGGAATGATTCCCTTCGGCTTCTTAACAAGCATATTCAAAAAGTATGTTGCTTTGATGACCCTTCACCAGTGCATTACAACCTTTGCTCTGGGCACTAACTGGACGGCAGGATGGCACTTCTCTTGGACCGGCATTAAATTTTGCTAGAATTTTAATAAACAATTGACCATATGATACTACATTTTAATAGTGTATTATGTAAGACCATGGTATATAATTTGTTTGTCTTTTTAATTACTGGACAATAGAGAAAGGAACACAGTTCACTTTTCAGTTAGGTCTGTTAGGCTGTTAAAACTACCCTGTTTAGTGGTGCTAATTAGGAAAGGCTGACCTTTAAAGCCCTAAATGACCTTGGCCCCTGTATACCTGAAGTAGCATCTCCACCACCATTGTTCAGCCCGTATACTGAGGTCCAGCTCTGAGGGCCTTCAGGCAGTTCCCTCACTGTGAAGTAAAGTTACAGGCAGGGAACCAGGCAGAGGGCCTTTTGGGTAGTTGCACACACCCTGTGGTATGCCCTCCCATCAGATGTCAAACAGATAAACAACTACAGGACTTTTAGAAGACATCTGAAGGCAGCCCTGTGTAGGGGAGTTTTTAATGTTTGATATTTTATTGTGCTTTATAATGTTGGAAGTATCACAGTGAGATGGTCAGGGTACAAATAAAAAATATTGTTGTTGTTGTTGTTGTTAGAGAGTTGATTTCTTCAGAGAAAAGCTGAGTGCTGAGCCATTGGGAAATAAGAAATATGATTGTCAAGGTCAAAGAACAGAAACACCCAATGCTGAGTGGGGAGCAAGAATGTTCACTCGGTAGGGATTTGCATCTATTGTGTCCCTTGCTTATGTAATAGGAACTTGGTTAAACTTGTTTCCTAGTGAGATTCACAACTGAAACAGAGTTAAATGATACAGAATGAGGCAAGGAAAGATATGGATTTAATTCTTGGAACACCCAGCCTATTTACACATTGGGAATTCCAGGGTCCTATAAAACCAACATTATTAGTCATAATTCCATCTGCATAATTTCCCCAGGAGGAGGGCAGGCAAAGGCAATCCAAGTACCCCGTCTCAAATGCTTGCAGCACCCTGCTAATAACCATGACAAAAGTTTTGTCAAGTGTTTTGTGGCTGGTTGTGGTGGTATTGAAGTCAAATCAGGTGCCACGGTGAGACCTCCTCAGAATTAAGAAGTCTTGATGTGTGTGAGAGAGAAAAGCTACATTTCTCTAAGTTTTCTTGGCATCTCAAAACACAATCATTTATATGTTTAACAGAGAAAACCACTGGTTGTGTTGTCAGTTAGCACTTCACTTTGTCATGGAGTATGAATGAGGATGAAGTTTTATTTCAGAAAGGTGACCAGAATTGAAATGCCTGTAGCTCCATTGGTTAGAAATAGATGGTGTTAAAGGATCCATTCACAAACTTTCCCTCCCTTGGGCTTAGTTGCTAGTCCAAATTCTCTAAGCCTTGCACAGGAAGGTTACCAGGGGAGAGGGCCATGGTTTTGTAGAATTTGTAAAGCAACAAAAATAACAACAGAGAGAGAGAGAGAGAGAGAGAGAGAGAGAGAGAGAGAGAGAGAGAGGCTGCACTAAAGACCATTAAGAGGCCTAAGACCCACATTTCAGTGTTCATCATTTGTACCGATTATAGTGTGACAGCTCTTGAGTTTCCAATGATAACAGCCATCTGACTTGATCTGAGTTCAATGGATTTTCACTGAAATAGAATCATCGCCTTTGTGATGGATAGAAAAAGTAAAGCAATACATCCTGATAAATGCTCCTGCTTCCCCCACCCCCTCCCACCTCCCTTTACCGTGACCTTGTACAGTCTATAAGTGAGCGGAGCTGAGCCCCGGCCACTGCTGAAATGCATCAGGACTTTGAAATTTAAGTAGCTCTGAAACCCATCAATGGGGTGAAGGGAGAATGGCCTGAGAAAACGATGGATCATGCTTAGAGGGCTCACAGGGAAACAGGGTGTGCTGAAGGTCAATACGCAGACATGTCCTGAAGGAACGGCTCAGACACTCATTCTCATTCACATCTCAGAGCCGTTGCTGCTGTGGCGCTGTGAGGAGAGATCAGTCAGAGAGTAAAATAAAACAAGAATCCTGGAGCATATAATTTCTTCCCTGAATCAAATAGCACAAGAGTACTGTATAAAGTAGTTGATTGCCTTATTGTGGCAAAATTGTGCATCATACCATTCTACTCAAGTAGTAGGAAACAGTCTTCAGAGAGGAGGTTTGGTTTTTGCTGTGCAGCAATCAGTGCTGATATTTTTGTGGAACAGTAATACTTTTTATAATGCATCTTTTTATGTTTGTTTGTGAGTGGTATTTGTTTGACGTTAAAATTAGGAAAATTAGAGAGAACACACTCTGAAGGCCTGTCTTTACTTCCTGTTGTAGTTCCTCTGCTTTACATAGCTTCACTACTGTTCATGGCTCCTTACAGAGTAGTATCAATGGAGGAAAGCAAAACACAAAGATATTTGCCCTGAGAAGGTTACCACTTACCATCTGGTTGACTACTGTGAGAAACAGGATACTGGATTGCATGGACCTTTGGTTAAATCCAGCAGGGCTTTTTCCAGCTGAGGATGGAGGACTAAGGACTAAACCTAAGGTCAAACAAGAAGACCCACTTGTTTAGACAGAATCTGTCCCAATCACATATGAAGCAGCAGATGGTATTCCATTTTTGGTACAAAGGGAGTTATAGATAAAGGTACTAAACTGTTCTTCCTGCTCGTGGCTAATCTCCCCACATTTTTGTGTCCGGGCATTTTTCTCCTGAGCTGAGCTGTAGAAAAAAACAAAATAAAACTTGGGATGAGATTATGAGAAAGCATAATGCAGGGCAGCGAGGCTTTGGAGCCCACCCCCTGCTTTATATTATATGCAATTGGTGTTTAAAGAAATTATCACCATGTTGGTTGGCACTCTGTATTAGGTGTTCCAAAACATTTTGGGTGGTTGAATCCAGTACTTTTTAAGTTTCCTTGCATGCTTTGTACCTCATATTGATTTGCGCTGGTGCAGCCATGGGTGGAATTCCTGCCTGATTTTCCAGTCAGTTTCCTTTATAATCTACTTTAGAAAGGTACAAGGTGCTAGACAAAGTGCTGCCCCTCTCTTAGATGCTTTCAAAGAAAATTAAGTAAAAATTAGTACATAAATTTGAACCCATAGTTACCATGCCTAAAGCAGGAATTGCCGAACAATTTAAGGGGCTTATTAGCATTTTATGCAAATCAGTTATTACTGTTCTCTACTTCCTTAATTATCTATGTTATTTCAATACAACCCTTTCTTTGATGTCCCAATTCTATATTTAAATAGTGCAAGATTTCTATCGTATCCGCCCTCTGAGGTTTCTTCCATGCAAAAACATGCCAACAGCAGCTATTTTAGAGACTACTGGGAAATGTCTAATTGGTTAATCCCATTTGAGTTATGAAGGGTGTATTGCCACTCACAGAATATCAGAAACATGTAAAGTACAGGCTAGGAGAAGTTTACTAAAACCTGCAAGACTTCCCCTGAATTTCAGCCCCAAAGACGTTTTGTCTCCTAGATATCCAATGGGAAATGATTCAAAAGATGTCTTTAAAAAGGTTTTAAAACCTTCAGACTTCTTTGGAATGTGCTAAATGATTGTTTCATAGTAGAAATATTTTGAAATAAAACATGAAATAATCACCACCACCATCCGAATTGCAAAACAGTGAAATGGGAAAGGGGCTGAAAGGGGGAGGGGGGAACTGTGTTTTAGTGCTTGATTGCTATGAGATGGGGGAAGAAGTATGTGGGAGTGGAGACAAGCCCTCTTGTGGCTATGATTCAGGCACTCTTCAAATATATTGCTATGATTTGCATACAGAGGGCTTTTATACTGTGGATTTGTCACTATCCTGTGTTTTCATATTAATCATACCTGCTGCTGCTGCTGCTGCTGCTGCTGCCGCCACCTGTTCTATTGGTGTTGTGCATCTTGCCAGGCAGTACCAATTTCAGACAAGATCACACTGATTTGGGGTGAGATCTCGCCCAAGATTGTGTGAGCTCTTGCACACTCCACCAGATCTCGGACAATTTCAGGCAAGATCTTGCCACAAATGGGCCTGATCTTGCCTGAAATTGGCTCCGGTGGTGGCACCACTTTTCTACCACTGGCAGAGGCAGCAGGGCAGACGGGGCGCATAGGAGTGCCACCTGCAGGGTTCTGCCTAATGGCTGGGCCAGCTCTGATAATGTATGATTCTAGCATTTTATAGCTGCTATTAGGTCGTTTTAACTAAGAATGCTGCCCAATAATTTTAACCCTGCAAGTGTCACCTGCCAGTGCATTGCTCTGAATATATCTCCCAGAGTGCCACTCATGATAATATATCCCTCATTCTCAAGGCATTAACAACTACAAGGTCCCTGACAGACCTTTATTTAAATATATTCATTATGTTTAAATGCAGATTTTACTGGCCACAAAGCTCTTCCCTGATTGACACTGATAGATACAGAAACCTGAGTTTAGTTTACATTTAAAAATAGTATTTTAGATTTAGACAGTAAAAGATCTACATTTTTTTTTCAAAGTTAAAACAAGTTTTTAAAATAAGTTCATTCAGAAAAAAAGATTCTAGCTCAGAAATTTAGAGGGAAACTACCATTAGACATTCTCATTTGTATATAAGGTGGGGCTTTAG